AGCTCGTAACCATACCCACTTTTCCCACTTCCGATCGCTCCGCCGCAACTGAATTTCACAATGAGCGATCATTATCTTTGAAAACCCCCAAGATCCCCCATACACATTTGTATGTTTCTTGAAATCGAGCAGCGCTGACGTAGCCGGCTGAAAACATGAGCTGTCCCAAGTGTCTCGCGGAATTGTGGGGTAAACATCGATCGGCGACCTTTGTATATCTATACCGCGGCCCTTGTGGGCGGGAAGGGGGGGGGGGGGGGGGCGCCACAGGGCGGGGCACCGGTGGGAGCCCCAATGACGTCAAGGCACGCGACTCGCATTCGCTGATTGGAAACCCGTCGCCAGGTGAGAAGCCAACTCAGCTCGGAGCGCGTTCAAGCCCCCGCAAAAGCCAAACGGAATCGGCCTGCAAATCAGAGTGTGTCGCTATGCGGGGCAACCACCCGATGAGTCAGCAGCACCACCTCGGTGGTTCCTCGGTATATTGGGTATATATGGGGTATACTGGCTATCACTGCAGCCGCAGACACAGGGCTATACGGCGAGAAAAGGGGCCAGGCTACTGCAATAATCGCAATCTAATCGAAACACACTTGAAATGTTAAAGCACGAATGATACTGAGTCCAAGGGAGGTAATCTGCAATGGTTTTTGGATTGCTCATTTTTAACGCAACTTATATATAACTTATCTTGAAGATATTATTAGCTCTTTAAAATACAATAAAATTAAGATATTTTATTGAATGATTTCATTAAAATCTTGATGGTTTTCGATTTCTTGCGATAAAGGGCTTAAGTTCTATTATACTACCTAAGTACTTATACTACTTACTACTTTAAATTTCTGTGGGTCTCAACTTTTAAGCTTTTTTGGTTTAATTCTACAAAGCGTTAAGCATGTTTAAGAAATTATTAACAATATTAGTAAAACACAATCAAGTATGGATGTCGTATGGCATTACTCACTTGATTGAACTATTTTTTTAAGTTCTTCTTAGATATCAATTTTTACTCCGTTTTTAAAACGGTTTAGAAGTATCCCACATTAATATACATCCTTTATTCAAAGTACTTAATATGAATTTCCGAACTCCTAAGTTTTTTAAGGTCTATACTATTTCTTCCTCACTAAACCACAGCCTTGGCTACATTTCTTTGTTCAATTTACAACAATAGTTATAAAACGTTTGATTCTAAGCACAAATACCATTTATGTTCTAACTTACAAAAAATGCAGCAAAAAGCACTGCAATCTTATCATATAATGCCTTACATACCTGACTTAAAATGATCGTTTAACAGCCGGCGGAATTTTTATAATGGGCAATTAGGGCTTAATTTGTTAACCGTTTAGTTCCTACTTATTGTCAACATATCATATCATTGATAACTTAAAGTCCCGGTTGAGAAGCACCCAAAGGCTGCTCAATGGAAGTCGAATTCTTATCGTTTGTAATATTCTGACCCTGAAGCTTGCACCTTTGGGGACAGCAGGCACACGGCTGGGTACTATCTTATCAGGACTTTTCTCGCTGTGCAGCAAATGCGCCACCGGCAGAGATAGTTGCTGATGCAACAAGGTCGTCGGGTGTTATCATCGCCTTCCTTATCGGGGAAACACGCCCCCGTAACGGAGGCTCGTCCCATTCCCATTCCCATTCCCAATTTCCATTTCCATTTCCATCCACTGACCGGCCGTGTTGCTTAATTAACTTATTTGACATTTCATTTACTCGGCCCGCAATAAGTTTAATTGGGCAACACGACAATCAATTGCAAATGCCAAGTGCCAAGTGCCGCTGCCAGGTCATAAATCGTCGCAATCCGCATTCAATCTATTTAATTGTCGCCGCTGACGCACGATCGCAGGTTAGTTGATGATAAGTGGATGCGTCAAAGGAATCTGGAGCGGATGGGGAGCAGCCAACCCAGCCCTTGGCAACGCGATCCTTCGGGTCAGCAACGAATACTCGGGTATCTGATAGATTAGCCTGCTACCATTGCTTATGTACCCCTAAAAACAGGCCTCTAACCGGCGGCACCTAACGGTAATTTCGAAATGGGCAGCAATCGCAGTATCTGTATCTCGACTAGGGCATTAGTTTGCCCCCGAGAAACGCATTCCAAACTCTTTGGCATTTCGGGGCCTGATGAAATAAGCGCGTTGGAAACAGAATACCATAAAAAAAAAAACCAAGCGGCCATAAATAAACGCTTTGATCGGATTTTGGCAAATACTGCGCTCTGCTTTTAATTTGTATGCATAAATAATAATTATGAGAGTTTCTCGGAAGCCTTCGGAAGGGTTGCAGTATTGGATCATCATCATGGACCGATCGATCGATCGATCCATTGGCTGCTCTAGCGTTCTGGGAATGCATGTGGGCGTCATCGCGCTGACTCAGCTGGGTTCTTCTGCTCCTGGGCAGGAGTAGGTCCCCGGAAAACGATCCAAACGACGGATCCAAACGACCCCCCTTCGAAAAGATACAAATGTATCGCAAATGAAGTCCAGCTGCCGAACTGGAAGCCGCCTTATTGAATCTAATCATCTAAAAATGATATGAAATTATGTTATAAATATTTTATGGCCCCCGCAGCAGCAACTGAGCAACAGCAACAACAACAACAATGGAATGGATGGGGCCAATCAAGGGACAACAACAGCAGCAACCACATAAATATCACGTATTTTAACGCTGTTTTCGGATCGACACCGAATCGTCGTTTTCTCATTCTTTCCATTCTTTTTTTATTATTTTGGTATTCCGTTTTTGGCGGCTTTTGCTGTTAATCATTTTGTGGTCTCCGTCGTTATTGCTGTTGTTGCTGGCGGTATCTCCGAGTTAATCTTGTTAAAACAAACCGTTTCAATAAATACAGCGATAATGCAATTTTAATGCCATTAAGATGAGCACCAATTATGGCCAGCACCAGAGAATCAACTATGGCCAGCCCCCCGTATACCCCGTATACCCCGCATACCCCGCACCCCCTTCCCACCCGCGATCCTGTGGGCTCGTTTCATTTCATCTTTGACCGCAGAATCATTTGCGAATCCTTTAAGCAGCGACGGCAAAAGTTTTACATCCCAACCCACATGATTATCGGTCGATACCCTATCATCTGGATGGGTCAAGCCTCTAAGGAGACCCATTTGGATAACAAAAGTGTTGCACTTCGATTACGGACTTTAATATGAATTTAGTGACAATCATCTCACACTTGTGGGAATCTTAAAAATGAACGTAATTTCAGGTGTAAAGTACTAAAAATGTTTTTTAATGGGTTTAATATTTCGGTTCCATTTTTATATTAACCTAACTATAATTTTTTTTACATCCCCATATTCAACTTAATAATCACATTTACGTAATTTAAAATTTTCAAAAATGGATCAAAGAAACGTTTTTAATATTTCACCTAAATGTTCGCATTTACATATTTTAAAAAGTTCAAAAAGGTTTGTAAAAACTATATTCAACCGATTGTAAAATATTTATAAAATAAGATCCCGGAGTGATACAAAAAGGTCTTCCTACCTCTCTTTTATGTACAATTCCAACCGAATCCGGTTGGAAGAGATTACTGTGTCAATATAGAATATGCTATATATCTTAAAAAATTATAAAACAATTTAGTATTATTATTAATATAACCGATTAGCTGAGAATTTATGGTACTGTTTTTGAAATCACTATAAATTTCAATTGGTTTTGAAAATATTAAGCGATCATTGTGATAATATTAAATTAGCTAGTTCAATAAAAAATGAGTATATTTATTTAAAGTGTTTTATTAATGTTAGTACCTCAAAAACAAGCCAGAGTTTTATAATAATATAATACATCTGAGTTTTATGGAACTTTTAGTGCTCAAAAAATGCTTGATAATTCGATTACAAGTTGTATACTTTGGGGTATTGCATTCACCAGTCGGCGCGTGAACTGCGCCGCACTTCCTCCTGACTTCTCCCCATCCCTCTTCGATTTTGGCATTGTTGTGGGTTGGAACGGGGATTCAGGGATCGGGGATTCAGGGATCGGGGATCGGGGATTCGGGGATCGCCTGGGATCGCTGCCATATCCATCTCTGGTGCGTCTTGTGCGCGGCCGCGCTTAATCCGCTGGCCGAGTTTGACAGACTCCGCGACGGGGCAGAGTGGCTGCGGATTGTTTTTTATTGTTTATTTAACATTTCTGCGCTTTTATTTCGCGCTGTCCGCGCTCCCCCCTCCCCCCATTCAGCCCCCTCTGGCCCCCGCTCCATTTGTCCATCCAACGGATCGCCGGTCTCGCTTTGTTGTTGCTGTTCCTTGCATTTTCATTGTTCTTTATGATGCTCATTTAAAATTCAAGCTTTGTTTCATTAAGAAACACGTTCGTCCCCGTCCCAGTCCAACAGTCCAAGTCGCAGTCGCAAACGCAGGCCCCAGTTCTCAGTTCCCAGTTCGCAGTTCCCAGTTGGCAGTTGGCAGTTGCCCCGATCTCCTGCCCCCCGCCCGCAATCACCACATCCTTTGCCGATCTTGGCCATTCCTGGGCCAGCGCCAATTTCGACATTAACGCCGCCGACGGCGCTACGCAGCTTGTTAACGTTTTTTAATGCCCCGATTCAAAGGTTAACAATCAGACTGGGAATGGGAATGGGTTCGGGATTGGGTATGGGAATGGGAATGGGTATGGTTATGGGAAGTGGGTTGGGGATGTGGAGCGGATGACGGCGGAGGCCATTGATAAGCCGGCGCTCATTAAAGATGCAAAGAATTTTCACAGCTCTCCGGCCACAGCCAACACAACATCCTCCCCACCTCCTTGCTAATCCTGCGAGCGTGTCAAGGAGCCCTCCTTACAGCTGTCCTTCTTACCTTTCCCTACCCATCACCAACACCATCACCATCCCCATCCCCTGGCAGCTGAAACACTTCGGAGGTCGATCGAAAATGATTTGTACAATTTTGTAGTACATAATTGATGTCGGTGAGTGGACGAGATTGGAATCAACTCGGAACCGAGGGCGGTTACCAACTACCAACGCCGGTGGTCAAAGTTCGAGTGGATCTGGAACAGGTGCCATGGCTAGGACTGCGATCTGCGATCTGCGATCAGCGATCTCCCAATCGACCCCGTCTAATAGCTCAATTCGCAGTGCCATAAAAGCCGGGGCCAGCTTTTGGCTATAGATCCGCAGGTCCATCCATCTTGGACACTTCTCTGCGCAGGGCGCAGTCGTAAAAATAAAAGTCATTGACTCAATTTTGGAAATGCCTCACACACGACGCAAACGAAAACGAAGACCCCTTGAAAGCCAAAACAGCACAAAAAGGGGCAGGAGGCAGGGGGGCGTGCCAGCAGGCGCTTGTGATTATCCTTTCGCACGTTCGGCGTTGCTTAACAAATCATAAATATGGCCCGGGCCCGTCGCCGGGCTCTGTTATTGATGGTGGTCGCTGGTCGCTGGACGCTGGTCGGTGGACGCTGGCCGCAAAGGGAAAAAACCACAAAAGAGCAGGCAACAAAAACGAGAACCAGGTCTCCACCTTTTTTATGGGGGCCCCCAGCTTGAGTCCAGCATCTCCGAGTCGCAGGCCCCCGGCTGCCACCACCTCGCCCCACCAAAGGCTTCAATCATTTAATAAGCGCTGCCTGCCAGGTTGTTGCTTGTTTGGGCCACGACAAAAGAAGCCTTCCGCCATGTTATTAACTTATTCATAACAATAACGAGAGCAGCACGGATACTGAACGCAGCTTCTCCTCCTCCTTGTGCTCCTCCTTGTGGTCCACCTCCACCTCATCTTCTTGCTCCCATAATGTGTGGGATACGAATGCAGCTTCCAGACTTCCAAAGACATTCCACAAAGAACACTTGCAAATCTGCCACAGATCTATCCAAATCGTAGATCTCTGTCAGACCTGGGAGTGTGTTTGCCCAATGTCCTGTCTAGTTGCTCCGGCAGCTCTTGGAGGATGCCTTTCTCTCGGGAGGAGGCAGACTGGCACTGAACCTTAAGCTGGAACGTCTTTCGGGCGACGGCAGTGGGGTGGGAGCGGGTAGCGGTCCTGAGGGGCTTCTGGGCTTGGGTTTGTCCGGCTGAAGCAATTGGCAAAAGTTCCGGGTCACGGCAAGATTAACCTGCAGAAATGGAGATTAAGGATGGTATAAGGTGTAAGATCTAAGGTGTAAGGTTAGAGGAACCCACCTTTCCGGAGGGCGGAGAAAGTGTTGTCCTTGACTGGCCCAGCAGACGACCCATCTCACTTCGCATCCGCCCCAAGGAGCCCCCCTGGGCCTCCTGCTGCTCCTGCTTCTCCTCCTCCTTTTGCCGCCTCTGGTGGAGCAGCCACTGCGTCCGCGGATCCTTGAGGAACTCGTCGTTGTAGATGAGGCGGTCCAGCTCCGCAATGCCGCGACACAGCCTCCGGTGGTGGCTCAAGCAGCGACTCAGTCCCGCGTTCACCCTGCCGATCACTGTCGAATTTTGCATCCTAATCCTGTCTAGTGTGTCTTTCTGAACGGCCTGGGCAATATGTTGACTCGAAATTTCCAGTTGTATAGTTCTGGGGATGCCAAGATCATTCGGACTCGGACGTTCGCAGCACGGCCTCCCTGATGGGGGATCAATGGGGCAACGATGGGGGGTGGATAGGGGATCCTGCATATTTGGGCTGTGAGTGTGCCGGGCACTCGGGCAGTTCATCAATCACTCGTCGCCCAGGCAGCGACTGTCGATGATGAGTTATGGTGCGCGCAGAAAGAGCGCCCCAAGGATTGATCTGTGGGAAAAGGGTTCAACGGGGTATTAGCAGGGAATCAGAGTGATTGGCAAGTATAATAAAATCGCATTGTCTTAATAATTGAAGTGCTTAAGTCCCGAACAATACCGGTAAACGGATTCGAGACGCTCGGTAGAACAGGACTCTGGATGGCGTGGCCTAATTGCCGGCACTCCAGAGACCCCGTGTGTGTGCGTTAAAGTCACGACTTATCAGACAATAAAAGGGAAGCCAAGCGAGCGACACTTGATCTTTCCTCTATCCCTAGGCCCCTGCCCCTATTCCTATGCCTCTATTCCTATTACTATTCGTATTCCCAGTTCCCTATCTAGGTATACAGATATATATCTGGGCTGGCCCATCTCTGCTTAGCTGCGTTTTGGCCGCAATTTATCACACGCCACTTGTAGCCGGTTTTTGATCTAATAAAAACTGTCAAAACGTTTGCAGGATGCTGGGAAAATATTTACACGGCACACAAAGAGCGGGCGAGAGAGAGGGAAGTGGAAAGGTTGAAGGTGGAAGGTGGAAGGGACTGGCCCGAAACAGTTAGCAGGGAACAAAGGGCCCAAAGGGATCACAGATCGTAGATCTCAGTACTCAGGACGCAGAACGCAGGACTCGCAACTCAGCAGCAGGTCAAGTCTTGGGCGGTATGACACATCAGGAATCAGCCTCAGGAATTTAGACATTAAAGGACCCACACAGCTGATCGTCCTTGTTCCTCCGCCCGTTCGGCTGCCTATTGAAAAGATGAAAGTGAATTTCCCTCGGGCAGCAAAGAATGCCAGCAGTCGGTCAATTGAAATGCAGTGAAATGAAATGAAGTGAAATGAAATGAGCGGTGCCGAGTAGGATGGAGAAGAGTTCTGGGCGGCCCCTGCACGTTTAGCTATTTTTATGGAGTTCCCTGGAATTGTCGCTGGCTCCGTCTCCGACTCCGACTCCGTCTTGGACTCCTCGTCGCTCCGTTCTGTCGAATCTCGAAACGTTTCTATTAACACGGCCCCGGGGCATTGTTGGTTTGTTGGACGGCTTTCGGGATCCGTTTCTACTTTGCCGCCGCTGGGAAAACTCGTCTCGAACTGGGACTGGGACTGAAATTGAAACTGAAACTGTCAACGCCGACGCCAAGTGAAAAAATGTCCACCGAGAAAGAGAGTGAGACGTCATATTGGCCAGCATTTCCTGTCCAGTCACCAGTCGACCTCCTCCTCCTCCTCCGCCTCCTGAGTCTCACGTTTCCCCCACATTGCTCAATGTCAGGGGTTGCACAAGCGCAGAGCTGAGCTGACCTTGCCGACGGCTCAGCAGCCGCCAAAGGGGAGCTTAGCCAAAAAGCCAAAAGGTTTCGGGGCCTTGCGAAACACGGGGATCGTAAAAAACGGTTAAGCACTTGATTTATGGGGTGTTATAAGGTGTTAGACCTGCCCAGGTACGAAAGAGACGGCTGCTGCCCCATCAAATGCCAAGCACAGGGCGTTAAAAAGACCGCCGGAATGGCATGTATGTTAGCACAGGGCAGAGCATAAGGATAATACTAAACATCTGAAAGATGAGCTATTCAAAGGGATGTCACATTTGGGTATTTTAGAGTATGATATGTTTTTGTATCATGCTAACCACTAATTACAAAGTAGTTAACAGTTGGCATGAGCTATAGCAGGGGTATACTTTTTATGATGCCTACCCACTAACAATATTCATCTTCTTTCCAAGTTTTAGGAACTGTTGCAGAATCTGTATATCAACCAAAGACAGATCGAGTGAGCAGCCAAGGTTCTCTGAACTCTTACGTTTTGCTGACCATTGCTCTTGGCGGGGGTTTCGGTATGAAATGTGTGCCCCCACACAATGCCGGATCCCCCGGCATTGCATAGTTCTAGGCTTGCCGGGGTTAATTTTCAAGGGAGCGAATCCCAGCCACGGGCTTTCTTATCGCCACCAAGTCACGTCGCCGTAATCGGTTGATAAGCGCAATCAGCGCCTAAGAGGCGGCAAGGGTTCGGGTTCGGTTTGGGGTTCGGGTTCGGGTGCGGGTTTGGGCCTGGGTCCGCTCGAATTAGATATAATTAAGAGCGAGTGCAGGCAGTCGCGGCAATCGGAAATCAGCAGCCACGCCACAATAACCACAATGATGATGGCCAAAAGAGGAAGTTAATCCGTGGCCATAATCGCAGCATAGCGCCACAGCATGAGGCAACCTCCGAGTGCCCCTCGGCGGCCCCTCTGGCTGGCTGGGGCTCCAGCTCCAGCTCCAGCCCAGCTCCATTGAAGTGTCAGCAGTGCCACACATTGCTGGGTCCCCCTCTGTGCGTCGGCGAGGGTGTCTCCGATGCTAATCTCGGCCTGCTCTACTCCACGCTACTCTGCAGCTCGGCAGGGTCCACTAGGCCACCTGGACCAACTGGCGATGTCGGGTAAGTATATAGTCAAGCTTGGGAAAATTGCAAGCGAATTTCAAGGTCCTATCAGCACTTCAAATTTGGCCTTTAATTGTCTTCCATTTCTTGTACATTATTTTAATTGAAATATTCACCCAATTTGTCTTTCTTCTGTGTATATTATTCGTAGTGCTATATTATTCAAACCAAAACCAATGGAACAAAATGAGCATTTAAGCCTGAAAATATCAGCCGGTAAATGTCGCGTCTTAGGTTGTCTTCTGTTTAAATCAGTTAGTTAACAGCTATGATAAAAAAAACTCATAGAAAAAGTCCTATGCCAAAAGTGCCAAAGGAAAGCCCTTCAATTTTCGTTAATTGCTTTTAAATTGGCTTAAATAGCCGGCCTAATATTGATATTTCAAACAAATATCGGAAAACTGATTGAGCTCAAACATTTTTAATGATCAAAAACACTACTCAATCACAAACAGTATAACATTTCATGATTCGACCATCTTAACTCAAGTTATGATGAGCTACAGATAGGGATTGATGGCCCAGATCTCTCACTTATATTGTAACCAAGCCAATACTTGGCTAAAAGTTAAAAATTCAGGGCATTCGCTGTGCGATCTTAGCTGTTCGATCGTTGCTGACCAGCTCTTGCAGACAATGCCAATATAAATATTGTGTAGCACTTTAACATTTAACAATACAACGGCAGCAGCAACAATAACATGCGATAACAACAACAACTGCTCAGAGCCATAATAAACAAACAATTACGGTTTCATTTTGTTGCAGTTGCAGCTTGGCCAGGGTGTTGCTGCTGTTGCTGTTGCTGCAGTGGCACTTTTGTCGCTGGTTGCCGGTCGCAAGTCTCCATCTTGGCTGGCAGTGCCAGTTCCCTGCCCCCGCCCCTGCCCCGCCCACCGGGGGGCACTGCTCCGGAGATTGTTGCAGCAGCGGCAGCAGCAATTCTTGTGGCATTTTGTGCGACTCACGCAGCGGGGAGTCAAACATTTCGCACAAAGGCTCGAAAAAGCCACTGATAAGAGAGTTGCAACAATGGATGGCAACTGCAACTGCAACAGCAACGGCAACAACAACAACAACTGCCACGGCAATAACTCTGGCCAATCATGGGAAGCAAATCGGTCTTGCCTAGGCCGGGATTCTGACTCCGACTCCAACTCCAACTCCAACTCACTCTCACTCATCGGGATCCGCAGTTCTGCTCCTTGTCTAAGGCCAACTAATTGCGGGCGGCACTGATTACTCATACGCCCCCATGCCGCCATGCCGCCATGCCGTGTGCCGCATACAACATGTACCGCAGCCACTTGGATGGAGCGCGACGGAACAATGACGGGCGGCAGCAACACGCGAGGAACATGGGACAAACAAGACAAGAGGCCGCAAATATTTGTTAAACTTGACACCAAACAAAAGAATTTTACCGAAAGGATTTGAATGAACCGAAAAAGCGAACAATGTAAGCGCTGCGGCACCGCTGGAATGCGACTGAGAGCGGTGCGGCGGTGGTTCGGTGGTTCGGTGGTGCTGGCTCAGTGGTGCGATGGCCCAGTGGCTCAGTGGTGCGAGGGTGGAGTGGCGGGACGACTAACCAGGATGGAGCAAGACGGCGAGGCAGCAAATCAAACACAACAAATCGCCAGGCAAACACCGAAATCAAATTGTACAGCCAGGCAGGCCAAGCTCCGAAGCACAGTGGTGCAAGGTACGGAAATAACCAGAGGGTATACTGTCCCATCTATAGGGAGTTATGTTATGGGTGATATCCCAGACACCTTAAAGATTAAAATTCAATTTATAGAAAAAGGTAGCATCAGAAATAAAAGTGGGTAAGTATCTTTTAGTATTTGTATTTCATTTTTCTAACATATATATTTTAGGTGGTAACTCTTTCAAGATATGATACAGAAGCAAGCTATAGATCGTGTTCTTATAAAATAGGTACATTTTAAGAGAGGGAAATTTAAACAAAATGGTTTTATATTAATAGACAACGGAGTATTCCAAGCGTAGATGCAATAAAATTTTCGATTTATAACAATTTAGAAACCGTATAACCGGTTTCATGCGTAATTTTTTCAGGTCGTACCACTTACCATTTACAATTTTATTGAAAAAACAAGAGAAACCTCGACTCTGAGATACCCTATACTCAGCTAAAGAGAGTTCGAGAGAGATGGATATAGGCATGCAGCAAATCGGCTGTTTCCGAGATTGCACAAGACGCCACCTAGCGCCATTAGAACCAATTTAATAGTTGCTTGGTAAAATTATAAGGTATAATATCTTTTTTTTCAGGCAGAGTGCGCTTAAAATTACTCTGGGTGAGAGCGAGACAGCAATATTCAAAGCTCCGGATAGATAGAGAGAATAG